GGGGGGGGGGGGGGGGGGGGGGGGGGGGTTCAGCCCACTGGGGACAAGATTTCTTGAGAGAATGACAGTTGGAACTTTAAATCATACAGACGTTAGCTAGGTAAGGAGAACACTGCGTGGGCTGTGAAGGGTGGGTGGTCTGTGCCACTGGGGAGTTCTAGATCCGATGGCTGCGTCATGGTTACAGAGAACATCCTCACTTTTAAGAAACACGTAGCCATATTTGGAAGGGTCAGCCACGTGGTTCAGGAAGCTTTCTGTAAGCGTATGATTGTATTTATATGTTTGTTTGCTGATACAGGGTTTCTCTGTGTAGCCCTGGCTGTCCTGAAACTGCCTCCCTAGACCAAACAGGCTGGCCTTGAACTCACAAAGATTCACCTGCTTCTGCCTCCCAAGTGCTGAGGTTAAAAAGTGTGTGCCTCCACTGCCTGGCTATGATTTTTTTTTTTTTTTTTCCCCGAGACAGGGTTTCTCTGTGGCTTTGGAGCCTGTCCTGGAACTAGTTCTTATAGACTGGTCTCGAACTCACAGAGATCTGTGTGCTGGGATTAAAGGCGTGTGCCACCATCGCCCGGCCTATGATTGTTTTTAAATAAAACTATCCTATTAAATAATTCCAACTAAAAATGATGATGATTTACCCTTGATCTGGAGGTTCTGTGTCCTAGTCCACTCTTGTTGCCGTAACACGGTCCTTTAGACTAAGGAGGTTTATAAAGTATACAAATTTACTTATGGGGCTGGAGAGATGGCTCAGTGGCTAAGAGCACTGGCTGTTTCTTCCAGAGGTGATGAGTTAGTTCAATTCCTTGCAACCACATGGTGTGTCACGACCATCTGTAATGAGATTTGGCTCCCTCTTCTGGCTTGCAGGCATGCATGCAGGCAGAACACTGTATATGTAATAAATAAATAAATCAAAAAAAAAAAAAAAAAAGAAAGAAAGAAAGAAAGAAATTTACTTCTCACTGTCTGGAGGCTAGGAAGCCCAAGCCCAAGCATATGAGACCCATAATCCAGAACCCCTGAAATAAGAAGGAGAGGAGAGGGTTGTTACTGGAGAAACAGTTAGTGCCTGGTAGCCGACTATGTGGCTGACTTCACCTGTGGAGGGACTGGGGGGGGGGGGGTTAAGGGCTAGGGGGTGGGGCTTAGGGGTGGAGGTTGAGGGGTATGATATTGTGTCTTCTTACTGTGTTGACGTGGTTGGAGGCGGGTGAGAGTGGTGAGGAGAGACTCAGCCTCGTCATGGTATTATTAGGGGATTTGTTCAAACCCGGGTCCTGATTCAGAAGGACTGGGGTGGGGCAAAGGATTCTGCAATTTCCATCAAGCACGTAGGAGCTACCAAGGCTGGTCTGCAAACTACCAGAGAAGCGAGGGACTTGTCTCCTTGAGAAATGTTATAGCTTGAATCCAAGGGTGGCAGGGAAGCTAAGAGCTAAGACCAGCTTCTCTTTAGAGGTGGGCGTCTAGATTGTTGTGATAGATAGTCTATAGAGGAAAGAGAAAAGAGTACTAGCAAGGACCTCGCCAGCCCGATGGTGGCGGCTCACACCTTTAATCCCAGCACTCATTCAAAACCAAAGCCACAGCTGTGGAAGATCACTCTTTAGACTGTACAGAATGACAGACATGAGCCATCATACCCAGCTTTTTGCTCTTTCTTTAGACTTATTCTATAGTTCTCCTTGAGTTCAGCACCTTTTATTTATTTTCACTGGTTGATCAGTAAATGAATTAAAGGCCATAGAGTTCCTCCTAAATATCACACTTATTCTATAAAGCTATACACTATAAAACTTGATTAGTGGGGCTGAAGAGATGGCTTAGAGGTTAAAAGTGCTGACTGCTCTTCCAAAGGACCTGAATTCAGCTCCCAGCAACCACATGGTTGCTCACAACCATTGATAACAAAATTTGGTGCCCTCTTCTGACAGGCAGGTAGAACACTGTATATAATAAATAAATAAATAAATAAATAAATAAATAAATAAATCTTTAAAAAATA